CAGCTTGGTGTCGAACCAAACACATACACATACACACACACACTGGAATATATCAAACAAATCAAGTATTTAAAGCTGGCATTCTGAAACAAAGAGTCGGACAGGACGGAGCAACTGAACAACAGCAAATTCTGAAAACAAAGAGTTCCTCAAAATGCTAAGGGATCAGTCTCCTAGGGAGACTAATCAAGGGATCAGTTGGTTAGTTAACATTAAAGTAACAGTAAAAAATTCACCCCAATTGATTGTCCTTATTTCGTTAGGCTCTGTGGTTCCTGAAATAAGGCACTACTTCTATCAGCAAGGGCCTCCCTGGTGGCTCAGAGGTTAAAGCGTCTCCCTCCAATGCGGAAGACATGGGTTCGATCCCTGGGTCGGGAAGATCCCCTGGAGAAGGAAATGGTAACCCACTCCAGTATTCTTGCCTGGAGAATCCCATGGAGGAGCCTGGTAGGCTACAGTCCACGGGGTCGCAAAGAGTTGGACACGACTGAGCGACTTCACTTTCACTTTTTCTACCAGCAAAGCAAATTCCACACAAAATTTCTTTAAGAAACCTGCCAAAACCATGGCTTATGATCAGATCTTCCTGGGATTTCTTGACATGTGAATGCTCTAGCCAGACCCAGAAATGGAGGATGGTGTAAAACCACTAGAAGCAGCAGCAAAGTCAGTTTTGCAACACAAGGCAAGCACTGTTGTTCAGCAAATCTTCCCAACAGTGGATACAATTAATGTCAAAATCACAATGTGTCTCTCTGCTATTAATTTATTCTTTATATCTTCCAAGTTACTAGCTATCTTAAAAATAAACTGGAGTAAACCTAGCAAATGGCAACATTTAGTCACATTTACTGAGCATCTCCAATACAACAAGTACCTAATATGTGCCTGGTATAAAAAACAGTCCCTGCACTCTTAAGGGATTATGATAGAAATGGGTTGCCCAGACTTGCTGGAGAAAAATGGAGATGTCTATCGATCAAGATTTTTGGTTACAAATGCTGGCAAAAGGAATTTATTGGCAGGATCAAACAGAAGTCACAGAATCAGTAAGAGCCTAGAGAATCAGTTCAGGTAACCGGTACCTGATGGAAGGTCATGTAGTAGAAACATCACCTCCAACCTGTGCCTAACAGCTTGAATTAAGATCTAAAACCTAGGGAGAGTGTTGAAGCAGGAGAGCTTAAGTTAGAGGTTCACCCCAGAGCAACAGAAACTAGAGATTGCTATTAACACACTCAGAATGTAAAATAAGAAAAAAGTCATTGCTCCTTTAAAAAGAAATTCCAACAACAATAATTCAAATCAACATAAGGCTGAGGGTTTCCTTGGTGGCTTAGTGGTAAAGAATTCGCCAGCCTGCCAATGCAGGAGACATGGGTTTGATCCCCAGTCTGGGAAGATGCTACATGTCACGGACATGAGCCCATGTCCCCCAGCTATCGAGCCTGTGCTTTAGAGCCAGTAAGCTGCAACTACTGAAGCCCGAGCACCCTGGAGCCCACGCTCTGCAGCAAGAGGAGGCACCGCAACGGGAAGCCCACACACGACAACCAGATGGGAGTCCCGCTCAGCACAACTACAGAAACGCCTGCACGGCAACAAAGACCCAGCAAAGCCAAAAATAAGTAAATAAATAAAATTATACACACACACACACAAAGCCATGAGGCTAATATACTCAGTATAAACACATACAGTGTAAAAGCTGTGGATTAGCTTTTCCACTTTGCTTTATATATCAATAGACGCCTTGGAAAATTCTTCCTATAGCCTTTAAAATTGATTTTTTATATATTTTCCCCTATTTTCTCAACACTCTTATTTTAGCAGGCTGCTAAGTTAATTTTTACAAAGTGTAGTCTTCATTCAATATTAAAATTTACATTGAGTGACTGAAGTCTGATTTTTTTTTCCCAGATCTCCACTTAAAATGTAAGCTAAAAAAAAAAAAAGTAAGCTAAAGGACAGAGGGAAAAAATAATTTCTCTTATATCATTAAATATAAGATTTAATTTAGCTCTTTAAAATTATGGGTGATTATTTTTTTAAACTAATGCTGATAAACCAGAAATGTATTTCTTCCTCCCAATCTGCACAGCAGAGGATGTTTGGGCAATGAGATGCTCTTAATAAATGAAACTGTCAGCTGACATAAAGGCTAAATTTAATGTTCTAAAGCATGTCCCTTTGTAGACCAGGTACACTGCACTCAATTGAGCACAGCTATCCCCAAATCCTAAGAGCCTCCGCCTTCTTCCCAAGTCAAAGCCCTTTGCTGTTACTGAGTTTTGTGTAGTCAAACACCCAATCCTAACATTTTAACAGTAGCTTACCATGGTGGTGGCCTTGAAATGACTATTTTAGATACATTAACTAATTAGAGGAAAGGAAAGTTAGTGGCACAGTCATGTCTGACTCTTTGCGACCCCATGGACTATAGTCTGCCAGGTCCTCTGTCCATGGATTCTCCAGGCCAGAATACTGGAGTGGGTTGCCATTCCCCTCTCCAGGGGATGTTCCCGACCCAGGGATCAAACCTGGGTCTCCTGCATTACAGGCAGATTCTTTACCACCTGAGCTACTAGGGAAGCCCCATACTAACTAATTAGGTCCTCATAAAAATCCTGAGGGGTTATCATCTCCATTTTTTTTTCTAGATGAAGAAACCAAAGCACAGTCAAGTCAGTTTACAGCCATCACCTGGACTTGTGAAGATGGGATGAGAGGTTCTGAATAAATCCCTTCTATATAAATGCAGGGCAGTACTGGAGAAAGACTGGTAAGGACACAGATCCCGCCTCCTTCATCCTCTGTTATGTGCTATGAAAGGGCAAGTTACCTACACCTAAGATTTCGCCACTTATAGAACGGGAATAATGCTGACTGCTTCACAAGATATGGGCTAGTCCTTCTCAAACTTTCTTCTATAAATATCTTCCTAGGGTTTCTATTTTTAAGAAATGATTTTTTTTTTTCCATGTGAGAATTTCTTTCTGCATCTTACAAGGTTTTTTAAGAGATGTTAAAAAAAAAATTCTATGACTTACAGATGATACTGCTTTTAGTATTTTCTGTGTAGTGAGTGCCTGGACAATCTATGTTTTTGTGCTATGCTAACTGCCCAGCAGAGGTCTCAACCAGACAAGTTAAAACAATAGTAACCTAAAAGCTCTGTACCATGCAACTCTCAAGTAAACTTTAAAGGGACAATTCATCCTTAGTGGTCCAACTACGCTTAGAAAGCAGAGGATGAATAAAATCACTGCATTTGCATCCAAATACTTTATGAGATCTAGTGTCTCATAATAACATGATCTAGTGTCTCATAATAAAATTCTGACAGCTAAGAGAACTGCCTGAATGTTAAACCGGAGATACAATGTCAGCTTTTTGTTTCAGATCAGTTTCCCCAAATTAATGATCTCAAAGCAACAGCCAAGCTGCTATCTAACTAGCACAGTAGGAAATTTGTTTCTTAACAGTATGTGATTTTAAAACAAGTTTATATTAAAACAAACACAAATGTAGTATGGGATGAAAACTTCAATTTTACAAATGGTTTTACATACATAGTTTCCTATTACATCAATAATTTTGTTTACAAATAAGTTTCACTTTATCAACAAGAACAAAGCTGGATTCAGGTCTTCTAACACCTGATTCAGTGATTAGTCCATTTTTCTACTATCTAATATTGAAATAAAAAGTTTAGCCATTACTACATAATTATGTAACCTTAAAGATATGTAATTTATTCTAAATTTTGTCCTAAAAAACTGAGTTACTTAATATTCTTAACATACTCATAAACAATGTAAGTATACATTTCTCTTTAAACAGATCTACTTCAGGAGTATGTGTGAACAAAGTCATTTTCCTCCAAGCAATTGACACTTCGTACCTTTTGTCTGATGCTGTGCTGTGCTCAGTTGTGTCCAACTCTCTGCAACCCCACAGACTGGAGCTCCCCAGGCTCCTCTGTCCGTGGGATATTCCCCGCAAGAATACTGCAGTGTGTTGCCATTGCCTTCTCCAGGGGATCTTTCCAACCCAGGAATTGAACCCACATCTCCTGCATCTCCTGCATTGGCAGGTGGATTATTTATCACGGAGCCACCTGGGAATATCTATCTTTTGTTTAGTACTTTTAAATAAATATGTAAGCAGTTACTCTAGAAACAATTTTATGTGCAAATAATTTATAATGTGCTACTCATACATCCCATTTTCCAAAACCAATTAGGAATTTTTAGAAAGAAAACCACACCAAAAATTTTAATAGGCACTGGAGTCATGGAAAAATAACGTTTATTCTACTAGGAATGTCAACTTATCATTGAGTATTCTCCAAAGTGGAAATTACACAACGCCATTTCAGGAACAGACTGCTCAACCCACCCTCAACATCCACAAATGACTATCACAATAGTTAAACCACATCAAAACAGTCCAACATAATTAGGCTTCAATATACTGAACCATTATGTTCTTCTAAGATGCTAATAAACCAAAACCAGAAATATTAACATCAAAAGAAAAGATATTACTTGAGGCTAATTATCATACAGATTGTTAGTTCCTTGCTGTATCCCATCCAGAACATTAATAAAGGAAATATTTTACTCCAAAGAAAATTTTATTTTATATATATTACTAGTCATGAATTTGTCATTATTACATAAATGCTGTCTAATGCCATTAACCAAATGGCATGACCATTTTATGTCCACAATTCACTTCTGTATTTACAAACAATAGTTTTCATGACTTATAAAAGTATGTCTCTCAGTGAAGGTTTAACGTTGAGATGCAACCTAGCATCCATAATAATATTTGCTGTTCTGCATATATCAAAGTAGGACAGAAGTATTTACTCCCCTTTCATCTGGGTGACCTTATGTGGGGGAAAAAAAAGATCAACAATTTACAAGTTCTAAGTCTCCAAAGAAGATTTCCAGATGCACTTAAAGAATTGCTTACAGACAGTAAGAGTTTTAAGAAACATCCTCCATGTCCACATCCTCTTGTAATTTCTGTACCATTTTGTCTTCCAGCTGCTTTCCTTTGCCTTGAAAAAAGAAATTAAACTCTTATTGATTTGGTGTGACCTTGTGGAAGTCATATTCACACTTTATAAAGAATCTTGGCTATTTTAAAATAACATTAAATATTCCTAAATAATTTAAGAATATAACTAAACTCACACAGATCTTATGACTTGCCACACATTTGCTCACCTCACCTTCATGACAACCTACATCTTAAAAATGAGAAAACTGAGGTACAGAGACAAACGAATCAGTGACCCGGTCACTTGGCTAGTAAGTCCAGTAAGACAAAGGGGTGGGATGTGAAGCCTGGCCATCTGGAGCCAGGATCTCTGCTCTCAACACTGCACTCTCTACCTCAAAAAGGGTTACCTAAAATCTTAGATAATAACGGTTCCTTTCTATTGTTTTTGGGGTGTTAGTCCATATAAGCTATATGTAAAACAATGCTCCAGGATTCTCTTTTTTTTTAAATTTAGTACAAAAAGGTCCTAGCTTGGACTTTTGCATAAATCTACCCAATATGCTGTTACAGAATTTGACTTTACTAAGGCTTAGGCATAGCTAAATCCCCCCAAAATCTCTCTCCTTCTGATAGGTTGTGCTTGGCGCCAGCTGAGGGAGAACACTGGCTTCCTAGCGCCTCACTGAAGGAACTGTGCACACCAACGGCTGCCCGAGTGAGTGCCTACCTGCAAGTGACAGAAGCGCGGGCAAGGCTTCAGCACAAACCGCAGCTCTCACGCTGAGGTACCAGGGTCACCTGAGAGCTACTGAAGCACGGAGGTCCGCACCCAGGGCGTCTGAACCTCTGTGCTTAGTAAGTCCCCCAAGTAATTCCCACGCCAAATGAAGTTTGGGAACTATTAACATGAAACACTGTCCTTTTACTCAAAACAGGTTCGAGGCAAAATCATCTACTGAATTATGACTCAAATAATTTTGATTAACTTGGAAAGTGTTTTTACAGAAGTTAGGATTTTATGACAGGAGAAAAGAAACACCATAAGCAATAAGCTGAATGGAACTCAGAAATGCACTGAATCAATATTTTTTATAAATTACCAAGTCATATCCTAAATGAGAGAGAATGTTTACATGAAAAAAAATTTATCCTCAAAACGTTGGCTGGTACCCAATTACGTGGACCATGAAAGCTTTTCGTTTCTCTACTGGAGGCAGAGAACTCCTGTATAATGCACTACTTACCTGCAAGAGGGGCCCAGATAAGATGGATGTTTTGCTTGACCTCTTTAACGTCCTGAACTTTCTGTAGTTCTTTATTTTTCTTCAACCTAGGATAAAACACATCAAGGCCAAAAGCTCAGTTACTAAAAACTCTTTAAAAGACATTAATTCATAATTTGTAAAAATTATATTTAGTTAACCACAAAGATGAGAAATGGGAATACAATCTGTTTCTTGTTCCTTGTTAGAATAATGATTCCTACACTCCCAATTTGTTCATTCACTGTTATGCCTAGTGCCTAGTCAGGAATAAATTGAGGGTTGCATATGTATTTGCTCAGTGAATGAAGGAATGTAACTGCAAGAATTAACAAGGCTTAGAGACCACAGACACAGAATACAAACCTCTAATCATTAAAGTATCTGTTCTCTATTTGAGGAGAAAGATGTAATCTCCGTGTTATCTACTTTTTAAAATCATTCAGTAATTACAAGAGCATGAAACACATAAGACATTCAACAACAACAAAAAGTCAACAGATTAGTTCTCAAGCATTTGGGCCCCTTTTTTTTAATAATTAAAAAGGTTTGCAGCCAAAAAACTCTTGACACATGCTTTTCTATGAGACATTTGTGATGACTAGATCAAAAGTGATGTCTCTTCTAAAGAAATAGCCAGTTTCAAGCTGGGGCAGGGAAAGTGCAAGATGGTACTAGAAAGTCTTGTTAAGCCATAAAACAAGAAAGCAACCAAAGAATGTGAGGAATTGTCAAAATGACACAGAGCCTGCCTGAAGAACTCTCACTGGCCAACTTAGGGTACTTAGAACACCAACATAAATAATGATAAAGAACTGTAACTCACTGACAACAGTAAGAGTTGCTGTACACACCCACATGTGAGGCGAATAAATGAATAAAATAATAAATGTGGAATTGGGGGAAGAGAAAGATGCTCTTTCTTGGATAAGAAAGCCAACTAATAAACAGGAAAGGATGAAATTAGAAAAATCACCACTTGGCAATAGTAACAACAGTAACAGATTCAGGCAGAACACTAAATGGATGCTAAAACCAGTAGATACCACTTTAAGAGTAACAGATTCCTTGCTGAGTGTGTCTCCCCCAAGATGCATTGATTACAAAGAGGGGAATAAAACAGTAAAGTAGTTTCCTCCATTTCCAGGGGAGAAAACTGGCAGACACTACTTTAACCAAGTGATAAAAGTTAACATCACCAGTAAGAGGCAACATGTCCCTGGAAGACACATTTCTGTACTAGTTTGGCCAAAGGTGCCTACCCTGAATCTAATCATGAAGAAAACAGCAAACACAAAATGAGAAACATCCTGTAAAATGACTGACCTGTACTCTTCAAAAATGTCAATGTCATTTAAGACAAAGGTGAGAAACTGTCTGGATTAAAGCAGCTTGAGGAGACAAGACTGCTAAGTGCAATGCATGATACATGACTTTCTGCTGTGATGAAGGGCATCATTAGAACGACCAGTAAGATCAAGTAAGGTCTACAGATTCAATAACAGTATTTTATCAGTGATAATTTTCTGATTTGATAACTATACTGTGGTTATATAAGAGCATGTTCTTATGTTGTATACCTGATACTAAAATAATGTTGTGTGTCAATTATACCTCAATCTTAAAAACCACACAGAAAAAAAAAAAAAAACCACAGAAAAAGAACATACTAATTTTAGGATACATACACTGAAGTATACTTAAAAGGAAAAGGCATCATGTCTTCAACTTACTACACACAGAGTTAAACACAAAGTAAATCTGGCAAAATGCTAACAGAATATACAGAGTTCTTTATACTACCTTGATAGTTTCTGAAAGTCTGAAGTTAGGTGGAAATAAAGATATTTTAAAACATTTATACCTGTTCATTATAAATTTAGCTTGTCGCTTCTGTTTGATCTCTTCAACTCTCTTCATTGCATCAACTATTAAAAAAATTGATTAAAGTTAACAAATTTATGTACATTCAAGCCAGATGATTATACTCAACAAGAGCTTTAACAATCACCTTTTATTCTGATTTAGAAATGGACTAAACCAAACAAAACACTCGCTGCAAAAACAATTCCTACTGAACTAGCTGACAAAGGTACGTACTCTTGGTTAACGTCACTTTTGACTCTTTCCCAAGTATCATTTCTTTAATCTTTATTTTGCAAAAGCCTTTACTACTAATAAATTTTCCTTGTACTTGAAACCAGTCCAACATTTTTCAAATTTTATTCTACAGAGAACTTGGATTAATGACATTAACCCCATTCTTAGTTTGTCATCTCTATAAATAAAGAGTCCTTTCCTGGTAATAAAACCTACTTTTTCTTCAAGCACCTGAACTATGATCTCATTATAAATCACATTATATACCTGAGATATGACCACATTACGAATATTGGTAGAATGAACCTGTCAATTTGCCACATTCTTAACCACGAAAATCCAACAACTGTTTTGGAAAATTTATACAAGACCCTTGGTTATAAGGAAGTTGAGTCCAACTATACTCTAGAATCTGTATCAGTACTGTACAATGTAAGATAAATCACATATGTAATTTACATTTTTCAGTAGCCACATTTTTTAAAAAAAGTAAACCGGAACAGCTCAAAATTAAATTCAAGGTACATTTTGTTTAACCCAACATATTCAAATTACTGTCATTTCAACATGTAATTAATATAAAAAATTTACTGAGATTTTATACTTGTTTTCACACTAAGTGTTCAAAATCCAGCATATATTTTACATTTACAGCACATCTCAATTCAGACTAGTCACATTTTAATTGCTCGGTAGCCCCTGGTGGCTACCATACCGAGCAGCACAATTCCCAACCAGATTCTTAAAGTGTAGTCTGTGTATCTGAGTGGGGCAAATGAATGAGGCTCTATAATAATACCTGAACCAACTACTGTCTAACAAATAATAAAACAGGAGTTCTCAGTAAAATGCACTGAGAGTATATGCCCTGTTCATCTTCATATACCAGAATCAATGGTTACTGGTAAAAGATACACTATCTCAGAGAACACACAGTATTTCTCAGGAACAATAAAAACACATGATACGAGCACAGAGGGTCTCAGTAACTGAATATCCACAGATGATTAAACTAAGATATGCACCTCAGTTTCCACATCAAGCTGAATACCCACCAAATAAAAGTAGTTATAGATAAAAATGGTCTGGAGCTGCTATCTTCAAGTAGGAACAAAAAAGAAAACAAAGGCCAAAACGAAATAAAACTCAATGGGGTCCAGAAATGCTTTAGAATCTTTCAACAAAGTCCCTGCCAAAAGTGCCTTCAGGAATCAATCTAATAATCCTGTGAAAAATGCATAGCTCCATATGGGATTGAGGTGTTTGTGCATATTGTGAAATGATCAGCACAGCAAGTCTGGTAGAATTCTAAGTCTTAAACTGACTTCTAGTTAACAAACTTCCTCACCTCCACACCAAAGACAAGAGAGGCTAAGGCTGCATAAGCAGGCATGGCGGAAGAAGAAAGGCGGGGCCACGGGCCTCACACTACACATACACATGGCAGAATCTACAGCTAGATTAAGAGATTAAGTTTTACTACAAATGCGAATTTTTTTAAATTAAAGCCTCTGCCTAACTTAAGTAAGTAAATGGACAGAAAGAGCTAGGTAACTAGGTATGCAGACAGCTAAGAACTAACTATTACTGCTTGTAGTTTAGTAGCCTCTAACTTCATTTTCACTCAGGTCAAACACTTAGAAATTCTCTTAGAAAATTTGTAATTATCATGCTTACATGCTGTACTTTTGAACTTTACAGAACCACTAAGTTTCATGAGGTATACAATACTTATATCCCTAACAATACGTATATCCCTAAACCAAATTATCTAAACTGGCAAAGTGTGTTACGTTTTTTGTATATTTTAACTATGTCACACCTCCATAAAGTATTCTACATCTCTATTTTTTCGTTCAGATATTTGACTGCTTTTAGATCTCTGTGCAGACACTTCAAATAACAGCAAATTTAATAATTATGCTACTTTAATAATGGATACATCAACCAATCCTGAAAAGATTTGGGATAGCTTACAATGAAAAACACAAATACAGGAGAGCCATTGAAATAAGGATAAAACTATAAAACTAACCAATTAAAAGAATAAGTTTAATATTTAAACAATCAACTGATATTAAAGCTATAGTAATATCCCAAACCAGTGTCTACTGAAAACTCCTCATACTCCCTTGTGACTTACTGGTTTTATTCCACAGTTCTCGCTGGTATTTGACAGGTTCATTTCTACGTTTTTCAAATTCAAATGAATTATCCTGTAAAAAGAGGAAAAATATGGCTTTAAGAGAGATAGAAAAGAAGCATTTCTTAAAACTTTTTCTCCTTTTCACAGAAGTTCTAAGTATTTCAAGCTACTGTTGTTTAGTCGCTCAGTCATGTCCGACTCTTTGCGACCCCGTGGACTACAGCAGGCTTCCCCATCCTTCACCATCTCCAGGAGTTTGCTCAAACTCATGTCCATTGAGTCGGTGATGCCATCCAACCATCTCGTCGTCTGACGTCCCCTTCTCTTCCTGCCTTCAACTTTTCCCAGGATCAGGGTCTTTTCCAATGAGTCGGTGCTTCGCATCAGGTGGCCAAAGTATTGGAACTTCAGCTTCACCATCAATCCTTCCAATGAATATTCAGGGTTAATTTCCTTTAGGATTGGATGGTTTGATCTCTGTGTAGTCCAAGGGACTCTCAAGAGTCTTCTCCAACACCACAGTTCAAAAGCATCAATTCTTAGGCACTCAGCTTTCTTTACAGTCCCAACTCTCACTTCCCTACATGACTACTGAAAAAACCATAGCCTTGACTAGATGGACCTTTGTTGGCAAAGTAATATCTCTGCTTTTTAATATGCTGTCTAGGTTTGTCATGGCTATGGAAACATACTAAGATTTTCCCCAAGATGATCTCAGAGAATGTAAGTTTTCAAATTTTTTCTCCATTAAACACAACATACAAGACACTCCTAATGAAAAAATTTCTCTACATATTAGCAATTCTCAAAGGGCTGGGAGGGGAGATGGGCCTATAACCATCATGAGGATTATAAATAAACTCAAAAGACTTCCCTAATTTCCTGTTCCTAGCTGAGACTAACAGCCAGAAAACGTATGTTAGACTGAACCATTTGAAACTTCCTTTTCTCATAGATCAAAAAGAGTCAAATATTGAGAATTTCATATGGTTCAACTAAAATACCTAGCATGTTCACATATTTCAATACCTATAAACCTTTCTGTTACAGCATGGAGTTGAAACTACACATTCTCAAATAATGTGGTGCTACTCTGCCTGATGTAAGCTTCACCCTGAAATTCTCTAGGTCCCCTCCAAATGTAGTCGGTATTTTGACAATTAATAACTTTACTTACCTCAAAACATGCAAAATAATTTTGGGAAAAACCCCAGATATTTCTTGGTTTTCAAATCTATCAGACTCAGACTCAGTTAATGTGAACATTAACTCTGCACTTAGCTATTTCATTTATATACACAAGACTCTGTTCAGATCACAGTAACCTCAGCCATGACAAGGTAAAACTGGTCACCAGCAAATGAATATGACCTAGCATTCTTCCTTCACTCATAGTTGCCACCTGTATTTGAGATGCTACAGTTCTATTCATCCACACTGAAAACTATTTTTGTGACAACAATCATGATCTGGCCTTACAAGCTGTCAAAAAATATTCTTTACATTCACTGAAAAACCTCAGGTGTTAAGAAAGCCAGAAAAGGACTTCATAGCAACTACTTAAGACACTGCCTTTACAGAGTAGAAAGGTGGGGAAAAGTCATGGGTTTGGTAGAAGAGAAAGTACATCAGGGAGAAGAGAGCTGAAAGATCTCCCGCCCTCAAAAACAACCTGTGCAACAGTTTCTCCTCCTTCCTTTTCAAGGATAGAGTGCGGACAAGCTTCGGTGGGACCTCATACCAACTCAGTAAGAGCAATACTTGCGGGGGCTCGCCTCATGAAACTCCCTCACCCCGATTCCTCATTATTCCTCCTGACACCAATATCATTAACTAAGTTCTCTGCTCTCAGACACAAAGTCCAGCTAAAGAAATCGAAAAACTGATAAACAAGCTTATTGCAAACCTCATCCAAGCCCTCACTGCTATTCAAACATCCTTTTAACTTCCTTTCAAAATTCTTAAGTAACAATTTCCAACTTCAATCCATTTAAATAATTCTCCCCTTTGTTACAAGAGCTAAAAATACTTTTTGGAGAATAAGAAAAATCATTTCTACAAACCAGATTAGGATTTTTTTTTTTCCTTTTCAGAATTCTACAGATTTGTAGTTTTGGGGATCATGAGAGAATGAGATTGCCAAAGCCAAATACAAGTCAGTCGGTCATGAATCATGCTCCGGGAAGCCTTCCTAGAGTTAAATGAACCATCTTTCCCATCCAAAAACTAAAATTCTGAAAACTATAACAACTATAGTGATAGCTAACTGTACTCACCACCGTGAGCTCTTTACCAGCTGCTTTCCGGAACACTTTAGTCCATCTGACCTTGCGAGGATTGCGCTTCTTTTTGAAGTTTTTATGGCACTTGGATTTACAGAATCTGAACACCTATTTTTTAAAGTGTTAAAATAGTGAAAAGACAATATTAAAAACTTTTATGCCATAGGACATTACCCCACCAGACAAAATATACTATAAAGTCTGAGAAATAACAATGGTTCCCACTCACAGCTGCTTCTACTTATAGCATGATTTAGAAACATGAGACATATCACACAAAATGCTAACTGAACTATTTTTTGACTATCAAACATCACTACAACTAAAGATTGAGGGCCCCCAAAACATGGTTAAAAACTAGCATTTTTATAGAATAACAGTAAAACCTTTACTATGATCTTGAATGAAGGGAAAAATTTTAAGTCAAGTCATTTATTTAAATCCATTTGCAATTCAGAATAATTCTCAAAATTCACTTTGTATATATCTCAATGAGGGGGGGAGAGGTAAAGTTTCAAACAACCATTCTGAAATGTCCTTTGGTTCTTTTCACTGTTGCACCAAATAATTTCCCAAAAAAACCAACTAAAACTGGCTACAGATTTGTTTTTCTAAAAAAATTATTCAGAGATCTACTAGCAAGATTCTTTACTACTTTAATTCTACACTTTCATCTCCAAAGATATGATCCTTTAATAGTGTTTACAATTTAATGATGATTCAAGATGCTCTTAAAGTGACTTACTGGGATTTACACATCTAAAATGCATCACTTTGTTACTCTGTCTTAGAAAAAGTTACAATTTGTATTACTAGAGGAAATCTGAGAGAAAAAGTATTATAATTGAATCTGTGGACCTTGGCAAAGAAACTTAAATTGAATTATCATGCTTAGGTGTGACCCACTCAAAAAAAGGCCAAACTAAGGTATAGACATTTCAAGCTAAGAGACTCAGCGTTAAGGAATTTGCCTGCCAAAGCAGGAGACAGGTTTGATCCCTGGGTCGAGAAAATCCCCTAGAGAAGGAAATAGCAACCTATTCCAATATTCTTGCCTGGGAAATTCCATGGACAGGACGGCCTGGTAGATCCATGCAGCTGCAAAGAGTCGGACACAACTTAGCGACTAAAACAATAAAGCCTCTGTGTGTGTGTGCACATAAATCACAAATCAAAATACTTTTCATTTTATGTATGTTGTTCTATGAGGACCTTCAAACAGGTCACTAATCACATTATGGCACAGATTTCTTAGAAATGGTCAATACTAGAGAGTTCCCTGGTGGCCCAGTGGTTAGAACTTGGTGTTTCAGTGGGATGGCCCTATGATGGATCCATGGTCCAAGAACTAAGATCCCACAGTCAGTATGGCAAGGTCAAAAAGAAAAGAAAAGGAAGAAACAAATGGTCAATATTAGATCAATTTAATCGAGGGCCAGACTTCCTGGAGAGCCCTCTGCATTCCTGAATTAATCTCAAACAGCTAGAAAATATGTGAACCACAGCAGTTTTCTGGAATAATTCACTATAAAATCATTACTGGTAAAGTTTCTTTTGCATATTTCCAGCCCAAAGTACTACTATCTTTTTAAGTAAAAGCCGTCCTTGTTTCATATCTACTAGACAACTCCTACACAAGTCCTCACTGAGAGGTTTGAACTGCTCTAGGTCTTCTCAGTTCCAAAGCAAGCCAATGGGAAGATACAGGGAAGCCTACTTAAACTCTGTATCTAACAGACTCACTTGAAAAAGCATGATGAAGTATCTGAAGAGACTGGAGTCACTGAGATGGGATGGGGATTCCCAAATAAAGAGCAGCTACCATGTGCTGGATGTTGCAGTAGGTGCAAGAAGTACAAGAATAATTAAAACACAATGCTCTACCCTGAGAAGCTTAGTCCAGTAATGTGGTAAAGTCTCACTTTGCAAACAAGAGAAATAAAAATCAGACTAGGATATAAATAATGGGATATGGCTATACACAATAATCAAGTATAAAGTAACATGTAAATATACATTAAGGAGTGATTAGATCTCTACTGGGGTAGGTGGTGGATGATTCTGTGTGAGACAAAGCTTCATAGGCTCAAATTTCCCTTTTAATCTAGTCCTTGAGCACCATCCTCAGTCTTCAACGTGCAAATAAATGATCCATCTGAGCTTCACAGTTCAATACTTTTTTATGCCACTAATTTCAACACAGATTTATTAAGCACACCTTAAAAGTATACATGTTTCTGTTTGCAAACTATGAAAATATGGAGCAGTAATATTTTACCCTGGTGGCTCAGACCGAAAAGAATGTGCCTGCAAAGCAGGAAATCCGGGTTCAATCCCTGGGTTGGGAATATCCCTTGGAGAAGGGAATGGCTATCCACTCCAGTATTCGCTCCTGGAAAATCACATGCACAGAGAAGCCTGGTGGGCTACACCGTCCATGGAATCACAAACAGCCAGACACGACTAAGCAAATAACATTTTCACTTTTTCCAGCATTTTAATTAGTAACACATTAATTCTGGTTTCCCTGGTGGCTCAGCAGTAAAGAATCCTGCAATGCAGGAGATGCACGTTCAACCCTCAGTCAGGAAGGACCCCTGGAGAAGGAAATGGCAACCTACTCCAGCATTATCGTCAGGGAAATCCCATGGACAGAGGAGCCTGATGGGCTACAGTCCATAGAGTCCGGAAAGAGTCAGACACAACTTAGTGACTAAATAACAACAACACGCTAATTCTACTCTTAAGAAGCTACTTGAGAAGCATAAGAGGGGAGATGTCTATGAAAGATGGTCTCAAAAGCTACAAGCATAAATGGAGAAAAAATAGTTAGGAGGCTACAAAAGTGACAAGTGCCTAATCTGGGACCAGGAAGGCAGAAAAAAAGCTAAGACACCACTATCCTTTGCAAAGGCAGCATGGATAGGGCCTATAGCTAGATACAAAGAGCGAAAAGAGTCAAAGGTAACTCTCAGTTACCAACTCTCAGTTACCAACTCTTTGCGACCCCATGGACTGCAGCCCACCAGGCTCCTCTGTCCATGGGATTTTCCAGGCAAGGATACTGGAGTGGGTTGCCATTTCTTTCTCCAGGGCATCTTCCGAACCCAGGGATCGAACCCGGGTCTCCTGCACTGCAGGCAGACTCTACCGACTGAGCTACAAGGGAAAATGACTATTAACTTCTGAGAGCAAAAAGAGCTGAAGTAATAAGAACTCTCTTTCAGGAGGCTCACTGTTAGGTACAGACAGGATTTATACAGAATACACATATAAGGTGAGGAAGTACAAACCGTAATTCCTGAGCCTGTCAAAATCACCTCATTAAATAAAGATTCCTAGAGCCTCTTCCCCTCCCCCTAGATATTCCAATTAAAACAGATCTGGTGGGAATCAGGAATCAGTTTTTCCCACAAGTGTCCAGTGATTCTGAAGTAAATATAAGAGAGCTCAAATTCTGAGAATATTTTGAACAGAGGAATGAGATTCATTCCTGTATGAAAGGCAAATTTATGTATTATTCCTAAAGACTTTCACAATGAGGCCTTATAATGACCGTGCCCAACTTAAAGACGGTTCAACTTTACCATCTTTACCAACTTTACCATGCAAAAGTAATACACATTCAGTGGAAATCATACTTCAAATTTTGATCTTTCCCAGGCTAGCCATGCAGTAAAATTCTCTTTGATGCTGGGCGTCTGGCAGCAAACCAAAGCTCCCAGTCCACAAAGTGAACAACTTAATAGTTACAATCATTCCGTTTTTCAATTCCAGTAGAGGATATCATAAATTACATGAGATATTCAACACTTCATTATAAAACAGGCTTTGTGTTAGATGATTCTGCCCAACTGTAAGCTAATGTGTTCTGAGCATGTTTAAAGAAGGCTAGGCTATATACAATAATCAGTAGGTTAGGCTTTTGCATCTTCGACTTACAGTGGGTTTGCCCAGAAGCAACTCCATCAAAAGTCCAGTAAGATCTGTATCGTTCTATCTTCTGTTTTCAGACATACCTTTTAAATATAACTTATGTTTGTATTTATAGCCCTACCCCAAGCCTCTATCACCATCTGCAATCCATCACTTCCTTAAACATAGAAGTAACTGCTCCACTCTGTGCCTTTGCTCAAATTGTTCATTTCCCTTTAGTCTAAAATGCTTTCTCCTCTTGCTCTTAAACAAAATGCAAGATGCAGGATAAAAGCACCTCCTTCCTGTGTCTTTTCACATACGTCTTTCTCCAAATCCCCTCCAATCACTTCATAAAACGTAACTCTGCTATTAAGTCATACCCAACATTTCTATCAACCTCTACACAATACGACTCACCTCAAGTCTTATACATTTGTATAGAGGTGGACCTCAGCAAAGATGCTTGACCCGGCACGCGTTCAACAAGGTCTACTGAATTGAAGAATGTGGCCCACATACAACAGTGGGCCAACAGACTCCCAGCTTCCCCGTGGTCTCTGGCTGGAATCGCTCAACCTCTTTACTGCCGGCCTCTCCCAACAGCGGCCTAGTGACCAGCTCTGCTCGGACCGCCTAACGGAGAAACTCCGCAAGCGGGAGGTGGCGGTCCGAGCCCGTAGTAAAGCCCGCCTCACGCACCGAAATCCCAGGCCAAACCCCACGCCTAAGTGGTAGGCGCACAGTAACCCCGCGCCGAGCGGGCACGGCTTCAGACCGGTGGGAGCGCAGCTAAAAGCGCCCCACTCCCCGCCTCCTCACCTTGCAATCGTTACGAACGAACATCATGCCGTGGCCTGGGTAGATAGGGCCCGAACAGAAATAACATTTTTCAATCCGCATGTTTAATGCGCGTGGAGACTCGCCGGCCGAACACCCAGCTGAAGAGGAAGTTACGTAGCCCCGCCACAGGAAGTGATTCTCTTCCCAGTTCTCCAGAAAGAACATCCGGAAAAGGCGGTGCTCTTCAGGGCTTCTGGAAAGCGAGCCGAACGTGACCGCGCCTCCCCGCGGCCGCGCCGGGAAAAGCACTGACGTTTGGGGCAGGCGCAGAAATGCAGAGTCGGGCTGGCAGCTGTCAGCCTGGGTAAGTGCAAGGTTCTGCGCCTTCTGAACTGGCTGTCAGAGCATCTAGTTTTTCCACCTACCGTATCATATTAAGTCAGCATTTACTCATATCTTATATATCCTGTCTCTAGTTTGTGCTGTTCCCAGGCGACTCTCCACACTTGGCTCGTCTCTAGGAACTCATTTCTCCACGGCTAGAGCCCCACCGGATTCTGGTCTCTAGAGGACTTGCCTGGTGTCCAAGGCGAGAACCTGCTGCTCCGCATGGCAACCGAAGCTGCTGAGTCTCAGGCTCGCAGGACTTAACCAGCGGTGTTTTAAAAATTTGTAGGGGTGGTCTTCTCCACCTTGACTCCCTCTCCGCCTTTTGATTAATATACATATATTTAATTACTAGATATTTTTAAAAAACCACCATTTGTACAGGAAAATGATGCTTTTGAACTGTGGTGTTGGAGAAGACTCTTGAGAGTCTCTTGGACTGCAAGGAGATCTAACCAGTCCATCCTAAAGGAGATCAGTCCTGGGTGTTCATTGGAAGGACTGATGTTGAAGCTGAAACTCCCAATACTTTGGCCACCTGATGCAAAGAACTGACTCATTTGAAAAGACTCTGATGCTGGAAAAGATTGAAGGCAGGAGGAGAAGGGAATGACAGAGGATAAGACGGTTGGATGGCATCACCGACTCAATGGACATGGGTTTGGGTGGATTCCGGGAGTTGGTGATGGACAGGGAGGCCTGGCATGCTGCGGTTCATGGGGTCTCAAAGAGTCTGACATGAGTGAGCGACCGAACTGAACTGAACTGGAGCCCTAATACTCCCTCTCTCTCGCTCTCTTAACCTCTTTTGTACCTTATCTCTCTCTGCTGAATCCTGTGTAATTTCCTCCAGTCTATCTTCTAGTTTACCCATTCTCTTTTCAGACTTGCCATTTAACCTCTAACCATTACATTTTGAATGCCAGTGGCTACATTTTCCATACATGGAAGTCTTTTTCTCAATTCAAACCAGTCATGTATCTTTAATAAAGTCTTCTTTTCTCAAACATTTCAATTCCTTTTATGTTTGTAATTATTTTATGATCTCCATCTGGTAAGCATATTATCTGAAGTTCTTAAGTGCCATATTGCTGGATTTTGGTTCACTGGCCCTTGCTCATGTTTGGGGCTGAAGCTGGTGGGGAAGGAACGAGTGTTCATTTTAAATAGTGAACTCATCCTTAGTAAGTGTTTTCTGTAAAAATTCTGTAAATTCTGGGTGGAAATGTTTCCCCTGAAGAGATTCTGTTTGCTTCTCCAAAGTAATCTAGAGGTATTGCCAGTCACAAATTATTTTATGTTAGATTATGTTCATATTTTGCCTTAAACATTTACAGGGGGAAAAAAATTAAAAACAGGAGAGGAGTAATGTAAACTTGAATCTTAAACCTGTGTAAAAGCACACTTATGGTTATAAATTCGCAAGGGAGATTAAGACATAGACCAAGCCCTGGCTTTGAGTGTGTTTGGGGTTAGGAGGCCCTCCATTCCAGCGTTCTACCTCCAGGGAATCCAGAGTTTTATATCATGATAGCATGTAGCCATTAAAGCTGAGCACCTTGATTACTGATCCTGCAAAATCCAAACCAAAAGCAAACCACATCCAGTATCAGTTTGTTACAAGATCCCACTGTTGCTGATGTTGTTGTTGTCTGTTTTGTGGAAAAAGAGGGATGGTCTCTAGGTATTATCCTTACTTTCTTAAGAGATCAATAGTTCATTTAAAAAATACATTCATTATATTTTATCCAGCATTATCAAGTGTTTTATATTAGAAGAGTTTTCTAGTTCTAAACTCATCCATCTTGCCAAAAATAGAAGACCTGGAAATACTATATAGAGTTTTCCAGGTTATAAGAAGCCAAGCAAAGCATTCTTTATTGTGCAAAAATAAACAAATGGGGACTAATCAAACATACAAGCTTTCGCATGGCAAAGGAAATCATAAAACCAAAAGACAACCTATAAAATGGGATAAAATACTAGTAAACAATGTGACTAACAAGGGATTAATTTTCAAAATATACAGACAGCTCCTACAACTCAATATAAAAAAAAAAGCAATCAAAAACTGGACAGAAGATCGGAATAGACTTTTCTCTAAAGAAGACAGGCATATGAAAAGATGCTCAACATCACTAATCATTAGAGAAATGCAAATCAGAACTACAATGACATATCACCTCACACCAGTCAGAATAGCTATCATCTAAAAGCCTACAAATAATAAATGCTGGGGAGGGGGTGGAGAAAAAAGAATTTTTCAACACGGTTTTTGGGAAAGTAAATCTGTGCAGCCACTATAGAAAACAGTATGGAGATTTCCTTTAAAAACCAAAAATAGAGTTATCATATGATCCAGCAATCCCACTCCTGGGCATATATGGAAAAGACAAAAACTAATTTGAAAAAATACTTGCACTCCACTGCTCCTAGCAGCACTATTTACAACAGTCAAGACATGGAAACAGCCTGTCCCCACTGACAGATATATGAATAAAGAAGATGTGATTATATATAAGTATAATGGAATGGAATATTACTTGACCATAAAATATTAATTTTATGGCCATAATAATATTACACACAAGGTAATATTACTTGGCCATAAAAAGAATGAAATAATGCCATTTGCAGCAACACGGATGGACCTAGATATTATCATACTAATGAAATTAAGTCAGGCAGAGAAAGATAAATACTATATGATACGTCTTAAATATGGAATCTAAGAAACAGTACAAATGAATTTATTTATAAATCAGAAACAGACTCACAGACATAGGAAACAAACTTATGGTTTACCAAAGGGGACAGGAGGAAGGAGGACTATATTAGGAGTATGGGGTTAACAAATACACACACTACTGTATGTAAAGCAAACAACAAGGCCCAGTATATAGCACAGGGAACCATATTCAGCAGCTTGCAATAACCTTTAGTGGAAGAGAATCTGAAAAGGAATATACACATATATGTCATATATTCATATATACATATATAATTTATATATAATGTTAGAAAAGAATTACTTTGCCAAAACAGATTGTAAATCAACTACAGTTCAATTTTTAAAAACTCCTAATTGGGAATTTCCTATTCTGTCCAGTGGTTAGGGCTCCACACTTCTATTGTGGGGGGCAAGGGTTTGATCCCTGGTCAGGGAACTAAGATACTGCATGCCACTTGGAATGGCCGAAAAAAAAAAAAAAACCCAAAAGTCCATATTGAACATTTCTTCAATGGATCGTTAGCTATCTTGACACCAACTTCAAAAGATCAGAGTATATTTCTCAGGGTTCCTAATTTCTTATAATAAACCAACATGGACTTATTTTATGAGAACCTTTCTAAACATTTTGAAGTCTTGGACTCTCACTTTGAAAACTCTTTCATTTGACTCTGCTGCATCTTAAGTCCTTTATTCAGTCCAATAGCCATTTGAGTACCTACTGTGTCCCGGGCCTTTTCCGGGTAGCAGCAACACAGTTTTGAAGAAAACTTCCCACATCCCTGTCCTCATGGAGCTTATATCTTAGTGGATAGAAACAAACATTCAAATATATTGAGTGATGATAAGTGACATGTACAAGAACAGAGCAGAATAACAAGGCAGCAGGGGACAATCTGATAGGGGCCATGAGAGGGAGTGACTGCTATTTTATAGAAGGTGATCAGCAAAGTCCTTTTGGACAACATGACATTTGAATTGTCCTACAGGGTGGGAGAGGGAGCCATGTAGATATATGGAAGACAAGCATTCCAGGCAGAGGGAACAGCAGATATTCCAGGAACACACTTGACTGTTCCAGGGAGGCCAGTATGCTCACAGAGGAGTGAGGGAGGGAGACAGGGTGGTAGGAAACAAGGTCAGAGAGCCCATCTCCCTGTATTCCCTCCTCATCCCGTTCAGTACTACACCCTCCCCAAGGCTTCCTGCATCCCATCTCAGCCCCAGTCTGAGTTCAAGCCTTTACCATCCTTGCTTTGTCCACCTGACAACAGCTGGCGCAACACTTCACGCACTGCAGGTGCTCCATCAGGGTTTGATGATGACATGTGTGAGTCACCTTCTCCAGAACATGGTATCTTGGCCGGTCCCTCATCAAGTACCCAATGGAATTTGTGTCTCTGAATGTGCTTTCCTTTAGCATTACATCCTCTGGGTTGAAACTTTCTTGTAAAGGGAAATGAAGTTATGTTCACACACAATGACAGATTAAACCATTTTTTTTATTATAAGCTTATCTGGCACAAAATTCACTGAAGATACACTTCACTTTTACACAAGTCTGTAAACAGAAAAATACATTGACACACAAGAAAGTTTGTGTTGGTGCTTCAAAGTAAATTTAAACAAATGATTTTCAAAGAGTATACCAGTTGTTGATGTCAATAACTGAAAATGGCTCTTGTGTGTGCACTGTATCATGCATATATTTCATTGTGTATTATGTTTAAGGCCAATAGAATCTGTACGAATTGCTCGTTTGGTTCCTGATAGGCTGACACAATACAGATATTATTTTCTTTTTTGCTATACAAATAAATCATATAAAATGTTCCCTGGTACAGAGCTATAAAATTATTTCCTCCACTTAAGTCTTACAGCAATTTTACAAGGCACTGCTTATGATGAGGACCGTGTCTTTGAAATATGTGGATCTTTTATCACTAGGATACACAATTCAAATGCACAGGACTCAGTGACTTCTTGGTATTTTTAAAAGTCT